AAAAACAAGCAATGGGGAAAGGATTCCCTGTTTAATAAATGGTGTTGGGAAAACTGGCTAGCCATGTGCAGAAAGCAGAAACTGGACCCCTTCCTGACACCTTACACTAAAATTAACTCTAGATGGATTAAAGACTTAAACCTAAGACCTAACGCCATAAAAACCCTAGAAGAAAACTTAGGCAAAACCATTCAGGACATAGACATAGTCAAGGACTTCATGACTAAAACACCAAAAGCACTGGCAACAAAAGCTAAAACAGACAAATGGGACCTAACTGAACTCCAGAGCTTCTGTACAGCAAAAAGAAAGAATCATTAGAGTGAACAGGCAACCAACAGAATGGGAAAAAATTTTTTGCAATCTCACAAAGGGCTAATATCCAGAGTCTACAAAGAACTAAAACAGATTTACAAGTAAAAAAAAAACCCACTCAAAAGTGGGAGAAGAATATGAACAGACACTTTTGAAAAGAAGACATATGAGGCCAATAAACATATGCAAAAATGCTCATTACTGATTATTAGAAAAATGCAAATCAAAAACAACTTTGAGATACCATCTCACGCCAGTTAGAATGGCAATCATTAAAAAATCTGGGGACAACAGATGCTGGAGAGGATGTGGAGAAATAGGAACACTTTTACAGTGTTGGTGGGAGTATAAACTAGTTCAACCATTGTGGAAGACAGTGTGGCGATTCCTCAAGGACATAGAAATAGAAATTCCATTTGACCCAGCAATCTCATTACTGGGTATCTATCCAAAGGATTATAAATCATTCTATTATAAAGACACATGCACACATATGTTCACTGTGGCACTGTTTACAATGGCAAAGACCTGGAACCAACCCAAACGTCCATCGATGATAGACTAGACAAGGAAAATGTGGCACATATGCAGCACAGAATACTATGCAGCTACAAAAACATCATGAGTTTGTGTACTTTGTAGGGACAGGGATGAATCTGGAAACCATAATTCTCAGCACACTGACACAAGAACAGAAAATCAAAAACCGCATGTTCTCACTTACAGGTGAATGATGAACAATGAGAACACATGGACACAGGAAGGGGAGTATCACACACTGGGGTCTGTTGGGTGGGGGCAAGGGAGGGACTGCAGGATGTGGGGAGGTCAGGGAGGGATAACATGGGGTGAAATGCCAGATATAGATGACAGGGGGATGGAGGCAGCAAACCACATTGCCATGGGTGTACCTATGCAACAATCCTGCATTATCTGCACATGTACCCTAGAACCCAAAGTACAACAACAACAACAAAAATACTTTTTATAAAATGTGACTTGGGTTAAGAACTAGTGATCTGACTTTGTGTATTCCTTTTAAGACCATGGTATATGTACGCTTTTCTTTACCACAGTGTGTATTTTTCTTTACCACATTGTGAAGTCTGTGAATCCTGGGACTACATTTTTACACTTGCATTCCCCAAGGAGCCTATCATAATGCTCAGGCCTAAGTTTGAAGTAAAAATTATGGCTTCTATTTGGCTCAAATAAGATTGTCTCTTTATCACTGACGTTCTAAGTTTCACTTCAAAGTATTTACATGGATTATTTAGTCTCCACAGAACTTGTGCTCCTTGAATCTAAGGAACTGAATTTTATATCAATTTTGAACAATTCTCAGCCATAATTCTTTCATGACTTTACTTTTCAGACTCTTATGATATATGTAAACAGTTTCCTCAATACATTCTCCATGTTTCTGAACCTTCCTTCCACATTTTAAATTCATTCTCTCTCTGCTGTGTTCTAGTAGCTTTCTGCAATCAGGTTTGTAATGCACTTTTCTGCTGTCCCTAACCCATCCAACATGTCCAGTGAATTTGTAATGCCACTATGGTTTTAATTTCTAGATTTGTTTGGGGTTCTGAACATCTACCTGTTGCTTTTTTTTTTGGGGGGGGTATTATTATATCCGTAGGGTTTTGAATCCTTTTATTTAAATATTTTCTTTTGAATATTATTTAATAGCCTCCTTTAGAATGTTGCCTTAAGTTCTTGAATCCTGCTGCCATATAATATCTGCTAATTTGTAGACTGTTTCCTCCTCTAATTTATAAATTTTATAATTTACAGATTTGGGCTTGTGCTCATGAGGCATTACTTACAGGAATCCTGTGCAACCAGGGTTGAGAGCATATAGGCTCGTTCCTTCTGCTATGTACCATAAAATAAAAGTTCCAGATGCTTTAAAAATATTACTTTTTCATTTTGAAGGATTCACAGATTCCACTGGTTAAATAAATTTCAATTCCAAAGCCAGGCGAGCTGCTAGACTACGAACAGAGATTTGAAAGGGGGCCATCCCTGCACTTCCAGTGAGCTCAGTGAATGACAGATATATGCTTTCTTGACATTTCCATGCAATGACAGACAAGCTTTTAATTTTCCCTTTTAGTGAGAAAGCAGTTCCTTGAGTCCAGGCATTTTATGTGTGAAAATCCAATACTACACCTTGCTTCTTGCCCAAGAGTGGATGTTAAAACCCAAGACCTATTACAGAGACCATCAACATATGGTCTTATCACTCCTCTATAGTTCTAATACTTCGGTTTTTGATCATTTGGGGTTTCTCTCGCTTTTTTTGCAAGATAAGCAGTGTACTTAAAAGGATGTTTATTAAATTGTTAAGTAAGAAGAGGCAGTATAATACAAAAATTCCACACAGAAAAAACCCCTGAGGTCTGGTCACAGTTTGTCATACAGTAAATTTGTAACCTAGAACAAACAACTAGATTTTTGACCTAATTCTTCATCTGCAAATAGGAATATCATCTAAAGATTCTCACAAGATTATCATGAGGATCAAATGACAGGATGAACTTGAAAACTCCACAAACTACAAAAGCACCCTATAATCATGGTTATATGATTAGTTTTGAATACGACCAGAGATTATGATAAATTTTCTTTCCTTTTGCCCAGCAAGATTCTAAACAACCAAAATTACTCTAGTGATTCTTACCAATTCTAAGTGTGTGTGAAAATGAGAGAGAGAAAGATCCACTTGAGGAGCTGGTAAAAGCTAAGGGTTGGTTTCTTATACAGTTACAGACTTTGCATATAATTTCCGAGTATTCTTAGGATCCCTGGAAACAGGGGTGTTAATAAAATGAATCTTGCACTGAGAACCTCTGTTCTAGATAAAGAAAGGTAAATTTAGGTGGTAGCTATAAACAACCAAGATAAGAAATATGTACATGTACACGATATTGACAATCTTAGTGTTTAACCTTCAGAAATCTGTAAAAATACCCAAACAAAACAACACAGTAATATGCCAGATCTCTACTTACCTATCTGGATTTATTAGAGATCGTATAGTAATAGCAGCCTTTAAACGCTGCTTGACATCTAAGTAACTAGAAGGCTCATCAAACATGAAACTGTGAAAAATAAAAAAGAAAAAAAAAAGCAAATATAATAATTTTGAAATCCAAGACATTCTACCTTGCATATTATTTTAAAGCACTGTAGTATCAACAGCTTTTGAGTTAACCACAACAAAAATCTCCGATAGTAATGAAGAATCCAGCTGTAATGGTAAAACTTTCTGTATTCTGTTCAGAAGTATAAGGAAAAACTTACAGAAAGACTTCACAACAAGTTTGGTGAGGGTCTACCAGGTTAGGCTAACTGACAAATTGGTAACTTCTCATGAAAAGTATTCTGATATAGTCTCAAGTAGTTTGGAGAGCTGTTCTCTTAAGTCAGCTACATTTAAGCATAGGTTTTTGGAGGGTATTGCAAGAATTCATAGAATACTTTGTGGAGAAGAGCTAGCCTACACCAGACAGGGCAGAAATGTGGAAAAATAAGCAATAAATATCAGGGAGGAGAGACACTGAATGTAGGAAGGAAACTTTCCTCTCCTCCCTCTCACATGGCATGCCATAGTTATCTAGGACGGTTTAAAAGACCTCACGTTTTGCTTCAGGTTATTTAAAAAGCTTGCTAGCCTGGCTGCAGAGCTTAAGTCTTAAAATCTTTTCACATAAAAAGAGGGCTTAAATAATGAACAACTGACTTTATATAAAGAGTTCTGGCACCTATCAGTTATAAACTATCTAAATAAATATTTTCCCGTGAATATAACGAGGAAAATGGGTAGTGGATACACAACTGCTTCAACATTGTACCTCAAAATTAGGGCCTTAGATAACACTTCTATGAATTTCTCTCAAAACCATTTCTCTATTAGCAGCATTACAATGGAAAACTCTACAATACAAATGAAGATAAACAAAAATTGTAAAGTAACCTACATATCAGCTTTCTGTATGCAAACGACAGCACAAGCAAATCTCTGCAGCTCTCCTCCTGAAAGATCTTCAACATTTCGTTCTTTTAGGTGGGTTAAATCTACAAAGAACACAGAGGCATTGTGCTCAATGTCATAAATTGTATTTCACCTCTTCCAGTTAAAATGTATATTGCATGTCATCATTTGAAGTTTGAATACTATTTCAGTTGAAAACTGTTTAAAGTAAATACAACAATTACCAGAAATTTTCCCATTTATTTCAGTAATCCACATAAAGATGCATGCTTTCATCACTTAGGTTTGGGGCCTATTAAAATACATACACAAAGGCCGGGCGCAGTGGCTCAAGCCTGTAATCCCAGCACTTTGGGAGGCCGAGGCGGGTGGATCACGAGGTCAAGAGATCGAGACCATCCTGGTCAACATGGTGAAACCCC